TAGGATGTTTAACAAGGGCATGATGTCCCCCATGGTATATTTTTTAATATGGGGTGCCCTATAATTTTTATTTATCATTTTAATTGTACTTACAAAAAGATAAACCAAACTTAATGAAATTAATATTCTTTCATTGAAATTATTGTTGTTCATTCTCACTCTTCACATTTACTTTTTTTTTGGGATAATTCAACCGTCTTCTATGTTACATTGTTAACATGGATTGCTATACAATGTATACTAATTAAAAAAGAGAACTTATTGTGAGAGTTTCCTTATTTATTTTTTGTATAAGGTAAGATGTAGTTTAACATTATTGTGATGTTGTTCTTACTCCCTATAATATATTATTTGATTTGGAGTACCAGAACCAGAGGGTACAAGGATTTTGGCTCAAAATGAAAGGGTTATGGTTTAGGTACAAAGCTTTTGGCTTAAGGTCCATGTATTATGGCTTAAGGTGCAAGGCTTCTAACTTGAGTGTGAGGGTTCTGGTTTGGATGCAAGAGGCATGGCTTGGGTACAAGGCTTCTGGCATAGGGCGCAAGGGGTATGGCTTAGGTGTGAGAGATTTGCTTTAAGGTGCTAAGCTTCTGATTTAGTCATTTTCATGTAATTCATAGTCGTTTTTATGTAATTTAGGGGACATTAACAGTGATGTGCTCTCTGTATGTCTAATTTACATATAATTCTCTATATATTACATGTAAATTATTCCTTAGGCATACTTATGAATTTTTTCATATATTGATTTACATGTAATATGTAGTTATTTTCATGCAATTTAGGGCTATTGGCAGGGGCATATTCTCTGTGTGTTTGATTTACATGTAATTTGCTAGAGATTATATGTAAATAATTCCTTGGTCATATTTATGAGTTTTCTCACATATTGATTTACATGTAATCCATAGTCATTTTCATAGAATTTTAGAGGATTAACAAGGGCATGCTCTTTGTGTGTTTGGTTTACATGTAATCTGGTAGAGATTACATGTAAATTATTTCTCAAGCATGTTAGTGATTTTTTCCTATATTGATTTACATGTAATTTATAGTCATTTTTATATAATTTTAGGAGATTGATAATGGGTGCTTTCTGTATTTGATTTACATGTAATTCACAAGATATTATATGTAATTGTCCAAGCCAAAAGCCTTATACCCTAGGTCAAAATGCATGCACCCTAAACTAGATTCCTTGTACTTTAAAGTCAGATCTCTTGTACCTAGCCCAAAAGTCTTATAGTATAAGCTAAAAGCTTTGCACCCCAAGCCTAAAAGCCTTGCACTTCAAATCAAAAGCCTTACACTTAAGTCAGACTCGTTACCCCCAAGTTAGACCCCTTGCACCTCAAGTCAAAAGTCTTGCACCTAAATCAGAAGCCTTGCGAATGAGCTAAAAGCCTTGTACTCAGGCCATAACCATTGTATGTAACCTCCCTGAGATTAAACCATAATTAACTCTAAATTATGGTAATCCAAGATTCAACCCTCAAGGATTACTAAATTTTAAAGCTTAATAAAAGGAATTTCTCAAAATTATTTTAAAGGAATTCTAATTTTTTGACAATTCAAATCCCAAACATGATTTAAGGACTTCAAATTAGAGTTTTTGAAAACAAAGCGAAAGCTTGAAAATCAATTGGGACCTAAATAATAAGTTTTAAAACTCAGAAACAAATTCTGTATAAAAAATGACACGTGCGCCGCAGCTTACGGCTCCTGCGCCACGGCGTGTCTCCTCTGTGCCATGCGCCACGGCGTATTGCACGAATTTTGACAGAGCAGTGTTGTAATTTAATGGCACAGGGAGAGAACTTCTGTCACATCCCAACTCTCCGTCCGACGTTCGATTGAGGTGGTTTCAATGTCTACACGAAGCTTTCTCTTAGTTTTAGCTAATGGCACCAGTTTTACATTCAAGCTCATTTTCTATAAAAAGTTGGACACCAAAACCTATTTTGACCACATTTTCACAAAATCTCATAAATGGGGTGTCCCAACTCAACTACAAGTGCCAATAGCTTATACCAACCATCCGACCATACTTAATGGATTCTTGTGGACTTGTGCAACACACCACATGCAATCAAAAATGCATATATCATAAAATCATTACTCAACCCTGATTTTCATAAAACAATAAGGAAGAGGAAAAGTTGCACAAAATCAACTATTTCATTCCAAATTTCTCAAAATATAAATGTTTCTACTTACACAAGTATTTTAGCCCTATCCACGGTTTTACAACTAAAACTCACTATCCCAAGGCACAAAATACACTAGTTAATCACAAAATCATGCAAGTAGTACATAAATTATGACAATTAATCTTAGTTGGCAATTATATTAACAAATACACATGTAAGTAGCAAAAGAGAGGCATATAGAGGTTTATTTCACAAATCCTAAGCCTTTGTATGATTTCCTCAACTCAGATCCGATGAGTTAGGTCCTGAAAATATTGAGAATTGAAAGGTGAGTACAACCACTCAACAATTAAGTTTCACTTAACCCTTATAGTTGCATACCAATTGTAAATAGATGCAATTAGGCAAATAAGTACATATATCGCATGACACTAAGTTATGGTTCATAAAATTAACAACCATAGGACCGGACTTGCCGCAGAACACCATATCATGTTATTTCATAAAAGCATAACAAAGGATTACAAAAATAACAACCATGTACCCTTAACACGTGCTGGACTACAAAACTAACAACCATATAGCCAGACTTATATGCATGATCATGTGCCAACCTTATATCCTCTTGTTACCTCCGACACAAAACCGGTGGCTATTACGTGGCTACGTCCTTCATAAACTAACCCAGCCTTCCACTTGTGAGGAGCTACTGGGCCAAGGTAAACTCATTCACTTATATAATCCAGTTTTCTTCAATACGAACAACTATAAGGTGTTGTACCCCTAATCTAGCCTCCTCATAAACCAATGGAGACTAGTTAGGTTCGAGTCTCTCATAAAATAAGTGGGATAGTCCCGAATCAACCATGGGATAAGGCCACCTCCCGATTCTAATGGTTGGTGCCACAGCTAATTCCTGATTCCAACAGTCACTATCAAATACCATATGGATTTCAACCAATCTACTTCTCTCCCTAGGCTCCCACCAATGATCATGCTATATACATGTTTTACATAATATGCATTTTGACAAATGATTCATAACACATGAACTCATATAACTTAATACTCCACAATTTAACACATAATATAACACAATTTTTCACCTATAGTAATAAATCACAATTAATTTTGCAAAACATCAAGGGTGGTAGAATCAAGGTTTTTTTTTTCAAAACCATTTCACAAATCAAGCACTTGCCAATATGCATCATGAATTTAACCCATAAATCACAGTTCACAAACACAATTAATATATAACTATAAAGATTAAGTTTTCCTCGGTTACCTCAAATCTTTGAGAAGTCAAAGGTTTGCCCTTCATTATAACAACTTCCTAAAGTTTCAACAAGCTCGAGTGGTGCCAAAAACAAACCTCTCTACATCCATACCATAAGAACATCATCATTATCTAACTTTTAAAGCTTTATCAACATAAAACTCCACATACACTATTTTTAACCAACTCATAATCACTGCCTATTCATGCCCAATGGGCTCACTAGGTTTTACTAATGTACATTATCATTAATGACATCTCAAACCACCATTAATGCACTTTAACTACTCCCAACTATCATATTTATGGCAATTTTTGGACAATAAATGCTCCCATGGGCTATCCAATTTTAAAATCATCAATGTAGTGTTCTAATACATTAGACAACTCCCTTTACACTCATTTTAACTAATGGACTCCTATGGATCGAAAATCTATCTTTCAACTCAAACCCTATTATAAATAATCAAAAATGAGGGAGAGAAAGGAAGAAGAAGGCACCATAATCATACCTTAGGTGTTTGGGAGCTTCAATCTAGCCTCAAGAGTACTCAATGTCGTACCTTAGCAGAACCAAAGTCAAGCTCTTCATTTCCTTCTTCTCTTTCTCTTCTGTTTTTACGCAGCACACAAACTGATTTATTAGAATTTTGGCCCTCCGCTGCGGCGCATGACACAGAGAGCCCGTTATATTTAAATTATCTCTGTGCGTCGCGGCGAACCAACCACACGCTGCAGCGTGTGGTACAGAGAATGGTTCTTCACTTTTCTTCCTCTTTCCTTGCCCAGATGGCCTGCCATCGATCTGAACCCACTTTTAGGGCTGAAATCACAACAATTATGCCAAGTTAAACCCTTCTCGCCACACACCTCATTAACTCACTAATTACCCTCATTAGGTTAATGAATCAGGGTTAAAATTTTACAGATGTTACATTGTACCTTAAGTCACAACCCTTGCACTCAAGTCATAACTCTTATACCTCAAACCAAAGCCTTACACTAAAGCCAAATCCCTTGTATCGAAGCCAAAACTCTTACAACCTAAGTCAAAATTCTTGCATCCTCTAGTTGTTGAGTTTACATATAATCCTTGATGATTACATGTAAATAAGAGGCGTTATTTTTTTTAGCAACACTTTTCGACTACCCTTCACCTGCCATCCGGCAAGTGCACTCTTACCTGTTGGACCTCCAGGCACCAAATTTTGTGCCTTTTTTTTAAAAAAATAATATAAAAGGATATTTTGATCATCTGTTCAAATTATTTAATGAATAAAATATTAACTTTAATCTTTCAAATACATTTGGTCTTTACAACCAATTTTACTTTTATCTAGATTCTTTTCATCAAATTTTTTAATAAAAAAATTGTTACTACCTCCTTTTTTAAATTAAACAAAAATCATGAAAAATTTCTTTCTTCTCTTTGCCTCCATCAAAACCGAGCAAAAAAACATTACCTCACCTCAAACCAATCACAGCCCTGGGATCGCGTTCCATAATTCACGGTCAAAATCTGAAACAAGTGCCTTGCACTGTTACAGTGGCGTCCTCGTTCACGCCAATTGGGCGAACAGCTTGGTTGGAACTGTGCCTGGGATCGTCTCTCCTGCAGGACGGGAAGGGAAAATTTCAATTTCCTCTAAATCAAACCAAAGCACCTGAACGTATTTTTATTCAAATTACGCGCAACATCCAGAAGCGGACGAGTACTGCTCGTCGATGCTAGCTTGGAGCGAGGGGGAATGTAAAATCCTAAGAATGCGATGAAGTTTTGCATTCGATGGGGAACAAAATTGCGCGCACGACGCAAGTTTCGGCTTCGGAGTATTATCTTCATGACCTGCCCTCCACCTACAATCTCGTCTTGAAGGAGGTTTTAGGTCGGGGCCGTTTCTTCAAGTCTATTCAGTGCAAGCATGATGAGGGTTTGGTTCTAGTCAAGGTCTATTTCAAGCGTGGTGACTTCATCGATCTCAAAGAGTACGAACGGCGTTTGAGTCAGATTAGAGACATTTTCCGTGGCATTGATCACCCCACGTCTGGCCCTTTCAGGTCCTTTGCCAATAATTCCGCATTATTTCTTTTGTGATGCCCGAAAAGCTAGCGCTATACTCGGTAGCTGAACCAATTTAATCGAAAAGGAAAAACTGAAGTTCATAACTTCGCTGATTTCCCAAAGCAGAAAGCTTTACTTATTAGTATGTTTCAACTCGACCTCTCAATCGAGATTAAAACAAGCAGGGATGACTGAGATGCCGATCAATTAAACTTAAAATACCTAGTTTGTAAGTTTTGACTGTATCATTTTTAGCTTCAGCATATTGTAGTTCGAGGAAATTATCACAATATATTTGGCTGCTAAAAAAAAAAAATGGTCTTTTTTTTGAACCCAAACAATGCGCTAACTATTTGTGGAAAAGTAAGATATCTAAGTGGGTGGAATTTATGCGTTTCCAAGATTCATAGAGGGACATTGTAGAAAAATTTGGTGCTCTTTTCCTGTAGTTTTTTTGGCATTTGGGTAGAGCAAGGTAGTTTAAATTTCTCACGTGGTAGTGTCACCTTGCAGTTTTGGCAGGAAACGGACAAAGCAGCATATCTCTTGAGGCAACATTTCTTTCATAATCTGCATGATCGACTCAGTACTCGACCTTTTCTCAGTCTTATTGAGAAGAAATGGTTGGCTTTTCAGGTCTTCTTCGCCCTTCCCGATTGCTAAAATTTCAAGTGTCTGACAATGTTGCTATTTGTTTGACAATATTTTCTTGGGTCAATTGCAGTTGCTTCTAGCCGTGAAACAGAGCCATGAGAAGGGAGTATGCCATGGTAAGTCTTGGTTTAATTGCAGACTAGTCTCTGATAATTTAGGAAGATAATCATAAAGGATATAGAGTGGTCAATTAGGTAATGGTTATTGTGGCCAAAAAAATACTTTATTCTGTTCCATAAGTCCGGAGCTACTGGCAATATTATTCCAAATATTTACTATGGTTTTTTGTCCTACATCTGAGCTAAAAAATTTTGCCTTTGTTTGGCGAGATGTTGATTTTTTCCCCCTTTTGGTGGCAAATTTTCATTTTACAGGTGATATTAAGTGCGAGAATGTTCTGATTACATCCTGGAATTGGCTTTACCTTGCGGACTTTGCATCCTTCAAGCCCACTCACATCCCATATGATGACCCCTCAGATTTTTCTTTTTTCTTTGACACTGGTGGAAGGAGGCTCTGTTATCTCGCACCTGAGGTCAGTTTTTTCCCCTCTTCTATACTTATTTGCATTGCTTGCATTGATCTTTACTTTTGTCAATTCAGCAAGTGCCTAAGAATAAGGAATAAGTCCATGATCCCCCTTCTCTCTCTATTTAATTTTTATTATTTTTTGTCTATCATATGCCTACAAATTACATTTATCCTATTTTGAGAATTGAAAGGCAGGTGAATGTATTCTGTCCTAGTTTTAAAGTACTGATTCTGAATTTTTTTTTGGGGGGGGGGGTACATGAATTATTCTAATTTCTTTCAAAATTCATAGTACTCAGATAATGGCTTTTTGTTCATTTGAAGTAAAAACTTCCATGATCAAGGCAAAATGTTAGGTATTGACATATTGTTTCCAGCATGCCATTATGTGTGTGTTTCCGCTTTGATTTTCATAACTATCCTTCCTTCCTTAATATGATTATTTTATTACTATTCTTAATGTTTGTTTGGCTGTCAGAGATTTTATGAACATGGAGGGGAGATGCAGGTAGTACAAGATGCTTCATTAAAGCCATCTATGGATATATTTGCAGTTGGGTGAGTATTTTTTGCTGCAATAATTTTACTGTTAATCTTGAAGAACATGTTTTTGCTTTTCAGTCACCCTTATATTGTTGACTCATTATCTGGGGTGTTGTGGTGCAATGGTGTGCCATTGTAGTGAATTTGTAATGTCTTCGAATTTCGGCCCTCTAGGGTCTTCCAGTGAGGGTTAGATATCAAAAGCTATACAAAGCTAAAGGGCAAGTGAACAAGTTGAAGATGAAAAGCGTTGTGAAAGATCAAGGAGATTATGAGTCTTGGTCATAGTTCAAAGTTTTTTTTTTTTTTTTTTTTTGGGGGGGTGACTTTGTTATTTAGCCATATAATTCACAAATTTTTATTGCAGTCTTGCTAGAATGATCATTATCTATAATGAAATTGATTCAACCTGCCGTGAGAAAAAAACATATATCAAGGAACCCTTCTTAGACATGCCTTTTTCCACGTGGTGAAAACACGCCTGTTGTTATGGAAAGTTCAATCTGTTGTGTAAGTTGGCGCCACTTGAAAATTTCACAATACGCTATATGGAAAATAAGATTGTCAAAACAAGCTACAACTAACAAGTATAAAACAAATTAAAATTAGAGTTTCTTATTCAAATGAATTGCAAATATATCACTAAGATCCCTTATAAGTCTTAAACTGTTTCGTTGTATTTTGAAAGGTTTCAAAATGTAAAATAAAAATAGTATACAGTTGCTTTAGTATAATACGTATTGGTACTTGATTTATATTCTTATGGTTCTACCTTTTTTCTTTTATAATGGTTCGTTCTTGAAAATCTTGACTTGAACTTCCTTTACTTTTCCTTTGAGAGAGGAGGGTGAGAAGAATTATGTTGGTGAAGTTGTTATGACAGATTGTCACCCGCGAATCAGTTTTTTAGGAGTGGTTATAACTAAGAGGTATCAATGTAAAATATAAAATATATAGCAAGTCACACTTTACATAAGTCATCAACATTGTGACTTACCTCAACCTTTGTGCAATGCACAAAATCTTGTCCCGCTGACTTTACGTACTATCTTGATCACTGTTTTCATTTTATTATGTTTCTCCTTTTATGAGGTTCACATATCTTTCTACTGCTTCAGGTGTGTAATCGCAGAACTTTTCCTTGAGGGACAACCACTATTTGAACTGTCTCAACTTCTTGCTTATCGCAGAGGACACTATGATCCTAGCCAACATCTTGAGAAGGTATACTCTAACTTTGAGTAGGGGTGTGTGTGTGTCTCTATTCTCCCACTTCAACCACACTCACAGAGGGGAAAAATCCACTGTACTGAGTATTTGTAGAATTTGCATGTCCTATGATTTTAGATACCAGATCCTGGAGTCCGTAAAATGATATTGCATATGATTCAATTAGAACCAGAGTCACGTTTTTCTGCTGAAAGCTACCTGAAGGAATTTGCAGCAGTTGTGTTCCCAACCTATTTCTCACCATTTTTGCATGATTTTTACCGCTGCTGGAGTCCCCTTCATTCAGATATGAAGGTACATGGCTGTACTGAAATATTTCAGTCCTTTATGATTTGATGCTTCCTGTAACTCACAAGTGATCTATACGTAGGTTTTACTATGCCAAAGTGCTTTCCAGGAGATACTTAAACAAATGATGAACAGTAGATCACCTGAGGAGGTGGCTGTTGCTTCTGGTGAGCTTCTGCGAGAGGGTGTTGGTAAAGAAAATGTCGATTTTATGAAGGACTCTTTGATAAAGAGAGATGAGATGGGAAACAGGTTAATTCCTGATCACTATGAGCTCCTTGGTGATATCAGTAGCCTACTGAGGGGTGCTAAAGATCATAACCATTTATCTGGTCCCAGGCACGTGATAGGAAATGCACCTAATTCTACCCTTTCTGAGAATCTAAAAAATTTGCAGTCTCCTGGTGAGCTCCTTCAAACTATCTCCAATGCATTCCGAGGAAATGATCATCCCTTTCTGAAGAACATTACAATGAATGATTTGAATTCATTGATGTCTGATTACGATAGTCAATCAGATACTTTTGGGATGCCTTTCTTACTGCTACCAAAGGATAGTATGAGATGTGAAGGCATGGTTTTGATTACTTCTTTGCTCTGTTCCTGCATTCGCAACATCAAGCTGCCTCACTTGAGGAGGGCAGCTGTGCTCTTGTTGAAGGCTTCTGCATTATATACTGATGATGAAGATCGTTTGCAGCGTGTTATCCCGTATGTTATTGCAATGCTTTCTGACCCATCTGCAATTGTGCGTTGTGCTGCTTTAGAGACTTTGTGTGATATTCTGCCCCTTGTCCGAGATTTTCCACCCAGTGATGCAAAGATATTTCCTGAATACATACTTCCAATGCTTTCTATGCTTCCTGATGATCCAGAGGAAAGTGTGAGGATATGTTATGCCAGTAATATAGCTAAGCTGGCACTTACTGCTTATGGATTCTTGATACGCTCTATAAGTTTGGGGTGAGGCAGGTGTACTTGATGAATTGAGTTCACCACAGAAGTCATCAATATCATTTAGTCAGACTAGTGGAAAATTGCGAAGGATAAATGGTGATGTGCAACTTTTGCAGCTGAGGAAATCAATTGCTGAGGTTGTCCAAGAACTTGTTATGGGTCCGAAGCAAACACCAAATATTAGAAGAGCACTCCTTCAGGACATTGGGAAGTTGTGTTATTTCTTTGGTCAGAGGCATAGCAATGACTTTCTCTTACCCATTCTCCCTGCTTTCCTTAATGACCGGGATGAACAATTACGGTCTGTGTTCTATGAGAAGATTGTATATGTCTGCTTTTTTGTGGGCCAAAGAAGTGTAGAAGAATATCTTTTACCTTACATTGAGCAGGCTTTAAGTGACACAACAGAGGCTGTCGTTGTCAGAGCCTTAGATTGTTTGACCATTCTTTGCAAAAGTGGTTTCTTCAGGAAGAGGATACTGCTTGAAATGATAGAGCGTGCATTTCCTTTGCTGTGTTATCCTAGTGAATGGGTGCGCAGATCAGTGGTCTCATTCATTGCTGCTAGCAGTCAGAGCTTGGGTGCTGTAGATTCTTATGTTTATCTTGCTCCTGTTATACGACCCTTCCTCAGCAGACAACCTGTATCTCTAGCTTCTGTGAAGGCCCTTTTTTCATGTTTAAAGCCTCCTGTCTCAAGACAGGTTTTCCATGAAGTATTGGAGAACTCCAGGAGTTCAGACATGTTAGAAGACAAAGAAAGATATGGTATAGTTCATCATCACAATCTAAACTATGGGAAATGGATTTACTGAGAAGAGGAATAGATGAGTTGGACTCATTGAAGAGCTGGCCTGACAAGCAACAAGGTGCTGGGGGTCAACAATCTAGTGGCACTGGCTTCCAACAGCCAGGGCTAACTGATTGTGATGAGGCTGACACAAAGTTGAGAAATATGGGGGCCTTCATGCATAATGATTGCAGTACGGTAGGACATCATGATCCCCAGTGCTCGGAGAAGTTACAGTTCTCTGGATTGATGTCACCTCAGGTTAGTTGTAGCAGTTTGCCATATGAGAAGTCATCAAATAGCATACCTTTGTATTCTTTCAGCATGGACAGGCGGGCAGCGGGAATTCCTCCTGCAGCATCTGATTCTCCACTACAAATGAATTCTCTAGGTATCAGTTCATCCACCATGCCTTGGGTTAGTCCAGTTAGCAAGTCCTTTAATTTGGCTAGTTCAGTTCCAGCCCCAAAGTTTGTTTCAGGTTCTTTTAGCATCAGCAGTGGTTCTAAACATTTCTATCGAGTGGTGCACGAACCAGATGGTAGGGAAAATGAGACAGCCTATATTAATAGCAAAATTCAAGATGTGGGATTATCCACTGATAGCAAAGGTAGTTCAATCTCGCTTGAAGATGCAACCAACCAAACGGATGCATCGGGATTTCCATCTTTTGCTCGCACATCCATTCCTGATCCTGGTTGGAGGCCCCGTGGAGTTTTGGTTGCACACCTCCAAGAGCACCGTTCGTCTGTGAATGACATAGCAATTTCTACCGATCATAGCTTCTTTGTGAGCACATCTGATGACTCTATGGTCAAGATATGGGATTCTAGGAAGCTGGAAAAGGATATTTCATTCAGGTCAAGGCTAACTTATCATTTGGATGGAAGCAGAGCGCTATGTGCAACAATGCTTAGGAGTTCTGCACAAGTAGTAGTTGGAGCATGTGATGGATTAATTCATATGTTTTCTGTTGATCATATCTCTAGGGGTCTAGGAAATGTTGTTGAGAAGTATTCTGGTGTTGCTGACATCACAAAGAAGGATATAAAGGAAGGCGCCATTCTCAACCTATTGAACTACCCTGTGGATGCTTATACCATCATGTTTAGCACTCAGAACTGTGGTATTCATCTGTGGGATACTAGGTCAAGTTCCAGTTCATGGACTCGTAAAGTTACTCCTGAGGAGGGTTATATTACTTCTCTGGTAGTAGGGTCTTGTGGTAATTGGTTTGTATCAGGGTCATCCAGGGGCGTGCTTACTCTTTGGGATCTGAGATTTCTGATACCTGTGAACTCTTGGCAGTATTCCCTTGCTTTCCCTATAGAAAAGATGTGTCTCTTCCTTCCTCCTTCAAATGCCCCTTTATCTTCGACTGTGAGGCCCCTTGTTTATGTGGCTGCAGGTAGCAATGAAGTTTCTCTTTGGAATGCAGAGAATGGTAGCTGCCACCAGGTATGTACGTGGCTACTGTTTTATGGTTGCTTGTAGATTGTAAAAGCAATGTGCTGTAGAACAAATCCAGCTCCAACAGAACAGATATATACCTGGAGTGTTCAAATTTCTTTTCATTGAACGGATGGATCATTCTCTGTTGAAGTCTACCTCTTTTTCTATCGCATGAGTACTCCAGATTGCTTTTGTTATGACTCAATTTAATAATGCTTGGAAGATTGACCAGTATTCTGATTGTTTTTCACTGTAGCAAATCATCGTATATTTGCCTTATCATTTATAACCATATCATGATCATTGACTTATTATAATTTCTTCCTCCAGGTATTGAAAGTGACCAACTATGACAGTGATGCAGAAAAGTCTGAAATGCCTTGGGCCTTGGCTAGACCTTCTAACAAGGGAACTTCTAAGTCAGATTTGAGGCGAAATGTCAATCCCAAGTATAGAGTTGATGAACTAAATGAACCTCCTCCCCGTCTTCATGGCATTCGTTCATTGCTTCCCTTGCCAGGGGGTGATTTATTGACTGGGGGCACTGACTTGAAGATACGTCGATGGAATCACTACAGGTTTTGTTTTGAAATTCATTTTTGGTCCACGTCCACCTGTCTTGCTTCAGATGTGATAATGACCTGACTGCATATATCTATGTATTCTGTTGCAGTCCTGACAAAAGTTACTGTATATGTGGACCTGACTTGAAAGGAGTAGGGCATGATGATTTGTATGAAACAAAATCTAGTTTTGGCGTGCAAGTTGTACAGGTAATTCATGTTTCCACATAATTTTGTATTCCAACAATTTATTGGGCGGGTTGTTTTTCCTTGTTTGAGGAGGTGATATTCTCATTCAGCAAAGGTACGGTGGATGCATCTTTGGTTCCTACTGGTTGAATTAAAATATAATTTTTTTTAGTGTAACTTTAGCCGACGCGAAACCCCATTAGTATGCTTCAGGTTGATTAAGGTCCACCATTCTTATCTTTATGGCTCCTGAAACGTAAAGTGGCTCTTGTTCCAATCACAATGAAATTTGCAGACCAAACTGTGCTTTTATGAACATACGCGAGAAGAATTAGTTTGCTTTAATGCTCTTCTTGACACCAGTATATAGTGATGCATGGAGCCATTCTTTCTTATGGAGTGGCCATCTTTTCATCCTACTCTTTTATGTTCCTTTTTTTTTAAAAAAAAATTCCTCAAGTGTGGAATTGATTTTGAAACACTGCAAAACTTCTATGCCCGACTGGTTAGCTGGAATCTCATCATTCTCCATCCATGTTCTTGCTGAATTCCTTGACTTTTAATGGTCAAATTGCTCACTGTCGTGTATTTTCATGCATTTAACTTTTGCCCCTTCTAAACTGCTTTTCCTCACTGTTCATTTGTCTATTGAGGGTATTCTTATCTCCTACTAATTTATTATATAAGCATCTGATATTCTACATACTACACATAAGCGGCTGCGATTGAACTTTCTACTCTTTTAAACAGGAGACAAAGAGACGTCCTCTTTCGAACAAGTTGACAGCAAAGGCAGTTGTCACGGCTGCTGCCACTGATCCTGCAGGTTGCCACCGTGATTCTATCCTTTCTCTGGCTTCTGTTAAGTTAAACCAGAGACTCTTGTTATCAAGTAGCAGAGATGGTGCTATCAAGGTTTGGAAGTAGCCAAACTAATTCGGGATGGTTGTACGTAGGCAGTGTCAACTCTAGTGGTTAAAATTGTACATAAGTTATAGGAGCTAACCCATTTAGTGGATGTTCAAGCTGCTCTTAATGCTATCTGGGACGTCAAAGTCCCTTGATCTGTAGAGAAGGTATTATACAGGGGAGTTGAATTAAGTCTAGTTTCTCGAAGCGTAGGAATATTAAGCATCTGGATATGTATTATGGGCATGTTGGCCCCGGTCTTCGAGCTTGTTTTTTTTTCATTCGGCATTCTCTGTTGCCTTTGTATTACGAATAGTAATGATGACAAAGAGTAGTTTCATTCAATATGCATGCAAACCTTTGTGGTTTTATTGAAAATGCTTGAACAAGAGTATTTCAATGGTAAAACATCACAGGAGAAATTGATTTTGAATTGAGCACAATAATTGAAATGTCGAGGATCATGTTAATTTTTTGGTACAACGGGTCCCATGAAGGGATCAGTCATTGGAATTTTACCAAAAAATGGGTGTCAATGGGCAAAGACCTGATTGGCTGATTCATGAAGGTTTTCCCCAAGTTATTTTTTTGCGTGACTAACAGAGGCAATGACAGCTGGAAGGTTGATGCAGATTGAGTAATCCAATATCCAATTTGATGTTGAAGTTTCTGGCCCCCCAAAAAAAAAAAAAAAAATTTGATGTTGAAGTTGCAACTTCTTGGATTCATGCGGTCACGGGTCCCTTACATTAGTTGTCTCTTTGCGTGGCTTTCCAACGAAAACTTATAATTACGTTTTGCTTTCATAGAATTTGGAATAAAATTTATTGATCTTATCTATACTCTCGCACGTGTTATTTCTTAATATGATTAAAATAGTTTGCCACTTTCTTGGCATCATTTAAACAATGAAAGTATTACCGTTAGTTTTAAAAAAAATAAAAGAATTTCGGAATGTAAGAGACAAAACTAGATATCAAATAAATAAATAAATAAATAAATCAAAACACAAGCAAAGATCTTACGGATACTACTGCGCTCTTCTATGTGTATGTCCCGAGTAGAGTTTGGAATTTATGACACAAAAGATAAAGAAAATTATGACATAAATGCAAGGATTCATGGCAAAACAAATTCAAAAATATCAGTACACTATCTGTACCTTCATTGACCTCACCGTCTCTACTGGCTTGCATACAATTTTTCAGCAAAGTAGTACTTTTTGACCATTTGTCCTAATACAAGTTTATCGCATCGCTCGAGTCATGACTCTGCCGAGTCCTCTTGAAGACCTTACATAACTTCTCTGACTCAGCATCTCGGTTAAATATGTTGCTGGGAATTAATCTGGACCGTTGAAGTTGCTCAGATAGATAACACCAATCAACTCATTGCAAGAAGGAATCTCACCACATCTTAAGACGGTCCAATGGTTGAACGCTCATGATTGAAGAAAGCGGTTGTTGATATATTTAATAGAAAGCAGAGTTGCACAGCCCAAACCCAAGTTAGTATGAGTATCCCCCTCAAGAATATTTTCACGATCACACACAAACAGAAAGAGGTGGACTCACGGGCTGCAACCAAACAAGAAGAAAAGAAAAGTTGCCAAAGGTTTTTAAAAAGACAATTTATTAAGCAAAAAGTGCAGCCTGTCCCTGTGGCCTAGATTCTTCATCTCCCTCTCTCTCTCTCTAATGGAACCGCCCGTGAAGGGTACTGAGTCTGTCATTGGTTCTATGGTTCACCCTCGAGTACCAACTAACCTGTGTGTATAAAAACCATGATGCAGGCCTAGTACTATAATCATTCATCAGTTTATCACCCAACTTCTAAGCAGCTTCATCTTCCTCTCACGCTCTCTCTTGAGAATGTCAAATCTGCATTACATGTCCAATTTTTTGCTGTTTCTTGTTCTTCTTCTGATGCAAAATCCAAGCACAACGCTGTGCCATACAAAGGGATTGCGACCAAGGCGTTCTCCTGTGACTTCATCGACGACCAACATGAGCCGAATCCAATTCTCAGAACAGCAATTCCTGAAATGGATCAAGTTCGTCGGTGGCCTCAGACACTCTGTTTTCGGCATAGCCAAAAACAAGCTTTTTCCCTCTTACACTCTGCACGTCTCCAAGAAGCCGTCTTCAGGACAATTTTCGTCAATTCAAGGCGCAATCGATTCACTTCCGTTCCTCAATCTTGTGAGAGTCGTCCTAAAGGTCCACGCAGGGGTTTACACGTCAGTACAAGTGCTGCATTATCTGCTTTCCTTCTGTTTCGAATTTTACAAATTAAAAGAAAGCTCATTCCTTCTTCTTCGTCTTCTTCGTTTTTTTTTTTTTCAGGGAGAAAGTGAATATTCCTCCTATGAAATCCTTCATAACCATACAAGGAGCAGGAGCAGACAAAACCATAGTTCAATGGGGAGACACAGCTCAAACAAAAGGGCCAGATGGGAAGCCACTGGGAACCTACGGATCAGCAACATTTGCTGTAAATGCGCCATACTTCATCGCCAAGAACATCACATTCAAAGTATTGAAACAAGTCCCCTTTTCCCCTTGTCTCAAATCTCAAAACCTATAATCTTCGTCTGTTTCTGGGGAACCAAACACGGTGTAACCTTGTGAATGCAGAACACGGCCCCAATTCCCGCACCAGGAGCAGTGGGGAAGCAAGCAGTGGCATTGAGAATATCAGCAGACACAGCAACATTTGTAGCATGTAAATTCTTAGGAGCACAAGACACACTGTATGATCATGTGGGAAGGCACTACTATAAAGACTGCTACATCGAAGGCTCAGTAGATTTCATATTCGGGGACGGCCTGTCTCTGTTCGAGGTGAGTAAGAGTTAGAGGATAGTGTTGTGGCATGCATTGCATGTTTGCATGTTTGCATGTGAGTGGGGTGTAGCAGGGATGAATGGAAGATGATGGATGTGGTGTTGTGTTGCACTTGCAGAGATGTCACGTGCATGCGATAGCGCAGAACATAGGGGCCTTAACAGCACAGGGAAGGAACAGCATATTGGAGGACACAGGATTCTCGTTCGTGCACTGCAAGGTCACGGGTTCAGGGGCACTGTACCTGGGGAGGGCATGGGGTCCTTTCTCTCGCGTGGTCTTCGCTTACACCAATATGGACAACATCATCATCCCCAAAGGCTGGTACAACTGGGGCGACCCTAGCCGTGAAATGTATGTTCTCTTCTCTTCCTTCTTTTCTCTCTTCTCAATTTGGACCCAAAACCAGAACAATAAGGTGACTTGGGCCTAGTGAGGATATTTTCAAGGCCTCTTTTTTGTTATCTGGCTTTATATTTGTTTTTATCTCCCCAACTTATGCATGACAATATTACATAACAAACAACATCAAGTCCGTGGACTTATCATAATTTATAAATAACTTTTAGTAATATAAGATTTAGAGATAATATAATTTTTAGTCCATAAATTTCTTCTTAATTATCAAGTTAGTTTTCAAAATTTGACTCATTACAACTCTGTTCTTATAAATAAACCAGATTGATTGAATTGTTTGAGTTGAAACTTAAAGATTAAATTAATACTTAAAATAATTCAACAACTAAAAGTTATATCTCTCCTAAAAATTATACTGATGATTAAGTGGTTGTTAAAATTTGCCATATGGAGTCTAATCTCGTCAAAATAGCTGTCATTAAAAAAAAAAAAGTGAGCTAAATCTGGTTAAAAACTGAGGTGTGTGTTTTAAACCTAGGGTGGTAATCTAAAAAGGAGACAAGCATGTAATGTTGACAGGGATAAGGGGATGAGCGAGAAGGGTTTGGGAAGAGACTTAGCCACCTAATCCCATTGATTAGATATGTTAATTGGTATAATTAGAGGTTTGGTAATGCATGTGGGAGAGTTTTGTTTGATTGTGATGTTTGCTGTGAGTGAACAGGACTGTGTTCTATGGACAGTACAAGTGCACAGGACCAGGAGCCAGATTTGCAGGCAGAGTTGCTTGGTCAAGAGAGCTCACTGATGAGGAAGCTAAGCCTTTTATTTCACTTAGCTTCATTGACGGCTTCGAATGGATCAAATTGTAGAACTTCATCACATACTGAGTCTTTCTTTCATTTCTTTTCTCTTTCAAGTTTGATTTCTTCTTGTGTGACAATTTTTTTTCCTATTTAAAATAAATATAAATATATCACAATTTGATTCTCGCTTGCATCCAATCTCTGTTTCATTATTATAATGAAAATAGCGCCCCTTGAGCTACTTTTTGAGTGTAATGGGAAAATTCACTAGCTGTGAGAAAAAAACTGTACAAGTTCCAGAAAGAAATATTAAAAAGCAAAACTTAGAAAATTATATCAAACATGAATAAGTAAAAAAACATTTTAAACTGTGATTAACAATAGCACCAATCTTGAAAAGGATATTAGTAGGGATAAAAACTTCATTAGTGTAAATGCGTTTATTCCTTATATTTAAAAATTTCCAACAAATTATACTTAGTCCAACCTTTCAAGAAATATCTAGTTGAGAATTATGCAAACACTCTATGAATCAAGATTGTAAATCTTTGCCAAAAAAATCAGTGCAAATGTTGGAATTATTTTTCCAAATAGGTGTAGCAAAAAAGCAATCTTTGAGGGCATGATTGATATTTTCAACATTAGAATTGCATAAAGAGCAACATTGAGTCAGGGTCATCTTTTTTCTTTGTCGTTCTGAATTAGTAAGGAGTTTACCCTTGAGCATTAACCAAATAAAAGCACAGACCCTTTGAGCTATTAATAGCTTCTACACTTTAGAACAGGTCTTGTTAGTTGGATTTCAATGATTGAATTGAGTTGCGGTATAGGTTGATTTGACAATAAATTTGCCGATATCAATAAGATTCCAAGAGCACTATAATCTCATAAGTTAGAAGTCCATGCATTTGGTGTTATATGTGAGCGCATGAGCATTTGAGGATTTGGATCCAAGTTTAATCACACAAAGCTAAATACACGCGCGCGTGCACTAAAATCAATTTTTTTTTTGTAGTTCAAAATTCATAAATAGGGAGTCCATCTTAAGTATGAAATGTTCTTCTTTTCTTGGCACAAGTATGAAATATTTAAATGAATAAGAATCATCCAACTTTTTTAATTCAAAATGACTCTTTCTTCCTTTTCCTTTTTTTTTTCGTATTTTTACAAAATTTAAACTAAAATTTACAGAAAGAAGTGAACAAACCAGTAGTATTTTTTTTGGTTGGTTTGGCACGCCTATTAACGATGCAAGTGTATGAACGCCGCATTCAAATGATATAAGAGCAAAAGATAGCTTCGTAACGTCACGAACTTTTTTTACTGTGTCAGCCATGCAATTATTACATTGTGTTAGTTTTACTACTTAAACCAGCTAATTTAACAAAAATGTTGGCATAGATGATAATTTTCCTCATATGCTAAAATATAAAAAAAAAGTGCTAAATTTTCATACTTAATATCCTCACACACAACTCACAAATATGGTACTTGTGATGCTTGTTTTGACGCGAAAGTGGATCAAGCTTTTGCGATGTGGGCTTGAATGTTGTGGACATTGGGCCCATATTCTCACAGAGGGGAGCTTCTCCTCCGAATTCCTGCCTTATTAAGTATGCATTATCTTATGCGTCACTCTTTATCAAGTTCATCTCCTTCCAATTTACTTTCTTCTTTTGATTCAGCTTCTACTTCTAGTGTCAACTTTCTTGTTTTACACTTCTGTTACATGGTGATAGTATGTGCTTAGACTTAAAAAGCTTTTTTAGTTTCCTAAATTGAAACTTGTAAATTTGTTGCATTGCCCATAGTGATAGTATAGCCTACTGCCTAAGTGTCTATAAATGTTGTTCCAGTTAGATTTCAAAATGCTGCTATTCTTTTGTTGTTTTTTCTTTGCTTTTATACATATTTACCACCAAGTTCAAAACCAAAGTGTTTGTGAAGATCATGCCATAGATCTCATCCTTGTACTTGCTTTCTTCATGCATGCTCTTTGAAGAATGAAGGTTGATAGTTCTGTTCACTGCTGGCACTTTGTGATGAGTCACTCGTGAACCTGGGACGATATAAATAATTGGGGACTGAGGAGGTAAAGAAGATTAGAAGCTTTTAGAGGATTTCAAAGTATTATTGAATATAATTGATATCTCCTACATTATACTCCCTCTGATCCTATTTATAAGTCATCTCTACTAATCTCACTAATACCAATACAACAAAAGTATAAAAGTAAATGTAAATGAAATTCTAAAACTAACCCTCAAATAAAAAATCAAAAAGTGATCCAAGCAATATAATATTATTTTTCAAGTATTTATCTCTCATACTTTACAGAAAAATTGCTCAATTACAGTAAAAAAAGTCTGTTAACTTTGCTTACACTTATTGGCAGGGAGGCTGAAATGAATTGGTGAGAAAGAATAATTTTGGAAAGCTACATCCTTCTAAAAAGGAAGTCAAAATGTAGACAGAATAAAAGAAAACAAAAAAAAACACACAGAATGGGACCACTATAGTCTCAGGCTTCCACCATGAAAAATTATTGTTTGTCCTTTAATTTAAATGCTCCAGCCAATGAAGAAGAGAGTGGATACAGCAGCAACATTTTTTTAGACTTAAATGCTTCTCCCATGTGTAAGAATGTCTACCTGGACAACAATGAAGGTGAAAATTAACATATTGCAATCAATAAAGAAAGAAGTGGTAAGGACATTTATCTATATAAAACCTAGAGTATCCCCATGCAAAATTTAACTCTGTAATATTTATATTTAGTTCCTAAGAATGGCTTCCATGTGAAGAATGATTTCCTAAAACACCATATTCCCCCCCTTTTTTTACGAGAGGAAAAACAATTCATCAAAAGAGTCACAAATACAAGTACTAATCAACAAAAACCCAACAAGAAAAGTTTAAAATCCCCCATAAGACTAAAGCAATAACATTGAAAGCCACAAACAATGAAAGTAATTTGATGAAGAATGGAAAACTTGATAAAATATTAAAGTTACGTTTTCTTCAAAGCCATTTAAAAGGAAAATGAGTTGTTTATAAGCCAGAAGTGACAGCATGAGAAATACATAAAAATGCTTACCTCCATGATTAAGAAATTTTTCAAAATGGAATCAGCTACTTTAAGCCCCTTTTTGTATTGTTTGGTTCCACGAGATTTCTACAAGAACACAAGCAAGGAAGAATAAGATCAATTTTTTTTTTTTACATATTGATAAACTAAAAAATTTCTAGAGTTATGAGTTTTTTTTTCATAAAGATTTCCTTATGACTAAGATCGAAAAATTATATTTAAATCCTCTCTCACGAACATGAACTTTTACATATTGATAAACTAAAAATTTCTAAAGGCTAAAGCACCAATATTTATATTAAGGAACCCAACCCCCACTATGAAAAGGACCAAGAAATAGGAATAATAGCAATGCCCAGTATATTCTAAAGCAGTAAATTCACTTAAAATTCTTGGTTTCTTTATTTATTTTCCCCTATTTTAAGAGTAGATAATGTAAAATCTCCAAGTTAGATTAGTAAGCCTCCTTAATCTCCTAACATAAATGAAATTATCGAATTTGTCAAATTACACAAATAGGATCCCAAGTTTTCAATATTTAAAATATCCCAAGAGATCTTTACAAACCAAAAATAAGAGTTTGATCAACATGCAAAAGCATGTGATCTCAAAAAGGAATCAAGGCATTTGCTAAAAAGTTGAAAACAGTGAATCAGTGCAGAAAAGAGGCATTCGTTGCAGCTTGTGTGCCTTTATACCATGCGTTATAGCATATTGCACGATTTTTACGGCAATGTTACTCTCAAATGATAGCAACTAAAGAAAACTTTTGACTATCCTAATTCCTCCGTCCAACAACCAATTGAGTGATATAGGTGTTTATAGAGAGTTTTCTCTGAGCTATAGCTAATGGCTTTGGTTTCACAATTAGATTAGTACTAAGTCAAAAGTTGGATACTCATTTCAAAATTCACTCCTTTTCATAATTTTCACATAACTTGAGTGTCCAAAACTCGTTCCAAAAGCTAGAAGCTACAAACACAACTTTGACCATACCTAGACCAAAACAAACCTATGCAATGCACCACATTACTAACATATCACATATAACATATTTTTATTGCTTGACCTCTTAATTACTGAAAATAGAAGGGGGAGCATCCAATCACACAATCCATCAAGTAATCTTCATAAATCAAGTGTCATACACAATCCTTACTTGTACTAGTATTTTAGCCATGCTGTAGATTTTACAGTCAGTACATAAGCACCGTAAGACCCAAAATACACAATATAGTTTAATAAAACACATAGTACAAGTAAGACGCAACATGAACTTTTTCTAGTCGGCAACATCATTTGAATTATACACATCAAAAATCAAAATAAATGAGGCCTACTAATTTTAAGATCGCGATCTTAGGCCTTAGTTTGTTTCCCTTGTTTGTGTCCCAATGAGCTAGCTCCTGTAACATTAAAGATAATGGGGTGAATATAACCTCAGTAATCAAGGTCCATCTAACTTATACTAATTCATGTTAATCAATTTAAATGCAAGTGATAAGGATATCATTTTTAAAACATTTAACATGTTCAAGAGCACAATTCAAAATTCTCAATCATAATAACTCATGCTCATGAGAAAATGATTTAGTAATACAATTTCACATAGAAATAAAACTAATCATATGATTTGTTTCACTTAGATCACAATACTAACAACCATATGTCCTTTTTATCACTATATGTATGATCACACCCCCTTATATCCTCCTTACGCCTCTGACATGAAACTGTGAGCTACAACACATTAGGATCATCTATGAACTGAGATTATCCAAGCCAAAACATATGTGAAAGGTTACTCAGCTAAGGTTGTCCAACTCACTTGTGGGTTGTAGTTTCTCCTATTTCTCAAACTATAAAGTATCATTCTCCCTAAACAAGCTTCTTTGTTGACATGGTTGTAGACAAGCTAGATTTGAATCCCTCATTAAACTAATGGGACAATCTCTTATTAAATAAGTAGGAAAAAAAACATATAATAAACCCATGTAAATCATCAAGCTCTAATGAAAGCCTTACTATGTGGATTTAATTCTCTGCTCCTCTTCCTAGGCAAACTCTCACCTCTCATGACCATACAGT